AATAATAATAATGTGCACGGGGCTGTACTGAGAAAAAGAGATCTGAGTGTGGGAGGGCACAGACATGAAGATTCCCGCTGCGACAGAAGATGGCTTCAGGTTCTTGAGGCTGACCATGGGCTGAGTGCCAACTAAAGCAGGGAACTCAGCCCTGCAGCCAAGAGGAGCTGGACTCTGACTCTGAATGAGTCCAGCAGTGAATTACCAACACAGATCTTGGGCTTATTACTTTAGTCAAATGTTATTGTTCTTTCTAAATTTGTAAAAATGACAACTTTAAATATAAGAAATTGTCAAAAGAAATAATGCTTTAAGATATATTTTTTTTCCCTTTTCTCCTATATATCCTATATTTTCATTAATTGGGATTATGAGTTAGAGTTTAGTGTTTTGATTTCCCCACGTCACTGGCAATATACAAATAGGGTCAATTCCTTTTACTGTAGTGGAGAAAATCCCTTCTGAAACACTCAGCTATTCTGCTGGGGTTTTGTCTGTGTGGGTTTTGCATTTACTAGTCCATAAAAACACGTGCTTCAGATTGACCAATCAAAGGACCCCACAGCCCTGGGGGGAGACAGAAGCAAGGCCAATCAGAAGAACTGCTTTCCACGGTGGATGAAAATGGGAGAAGATGACACTTCCCACTGTCGCCCTCGATATAAGGCTGCAGGTGTGCCAGGGATTGGCTGTGCCATGACACAGTGTGTCCTCACGAGGCAGCAAAGCTGATGCACACAGAGTGGTGGGAGAGAGTGAAGAATTGCATCTCTTCTTCCTGCTGGCCTGCTTGGACTTCAGTCCATGGTGAGTCAATTAATTCCTCTTTTTGTGTTTGATGTAATGTGTTCAAGTTAAGGTGTGTGTTCCTTATCAGCCAGATCATCTTACTTCTACATCACAAAATGCTCTAAAATTCCAGTGTTTAATATACTTATAAACTCAGGGAAGTCATCCATTCAAAGAAAATGTACTTCTATGAACACTTACTACTAACTGAATAAATATTAGCTCTTGTCACACTTATTATTGTTTTATTATTATGTGTACCATATAACAAGTTAATCTCTATGTATTAATGGGTATATACATTTCCAAAATTTTCTTTCTTGGGTAATATATTTGCCATTTTTCTATATAAATTACTCAAGTTTGTCTTATTATGTCTTCCTCTTAGAACCATAGATATAAAAAGACTCTGAAAAAGGCAGTTGGTTTTAAAACTTTAATTATCTGCTACCTTCTTTTTTTCAAAAGAATTACAACAAATTCTTTGTGTTCAGTGTTGCTTGATTGCTCACCTTATCATACTCTCACCAGCAATGAGCTTGGCCAGGATTGTAGAAATTCTAGATAAGGCACTATAAATATCGATCATAAGAAACTTCCTGGCTGTATCTTTAATAGGTACAAAAGCCAGGCCCAGAGGACCTCGGATGCTGGTGGTCACCCATGCACTGACTTTGTTCCATCCGGGTGAAGATGCTGCACAGACTCCACATCAGCATCATGGGGACGAGCTATGACTACTTTGGACTAATTCCTGCATTCTGTCCCATTCTCCACATTCTCATGCTCAACTTTCCAGTGTCTCCACTTTGGGATGTGTGCTATCAACATTCACCTTTCATTATCTTTATAACATTTTGTACTTTCCTATCTGCAATAATACTTTCCTATCTGGAATCCAGAGCTACAATTGACCACCTTCAGCTCTATCTCATGGAGATCAGAGTTTCTGGGTTAAACTGCTAAAATTACTTGGGTTATAGGAAAGGCTAACAGCAATAAGAATTAATGTTTTCATTCTCTGGTGGTGTACATGGTGAAATATATAAATATATACTTAGAGTATATGCTGGGGAGCTGCTCACTGTGTTATCTATGTCACTATTATGTAAGTTTTCAGCTGACTTCAACAGTGTATGTATGAGTGGCCCAAACTCATTCTCTCCTAACTGCTCTCACTGCAGGTCAGTAGCTCCAGTCTCAGGACTTCCTAAACTCAACCCTTGGAACATTTGTTCTCTGAAGAATACACTCCACGCTGAAGGAGGTAAGGATGTCACAGGCAAAGCAAGGCCCTGTGAGCAATCATGTTCCTCTGAGAGGAAGGACTCCTTAGAGAATCAATGAGAAACAGTGAGATTCAGAATAGGAATAAAATAGGCCCAGAAGTCATCAATGTAATATGATACTTTCTACTAGAGAACAGATTCTGCCCTGATGTTTGGTTAAGCATTTGAGAAGAATTCCTGGGCGTACGTTACTACTATTCAGGTCCCACGAGAAAACTTTAAAAAAAAAATCATGCATCATCATTCCAAGATAGTGTAATATACATCATTAACATATACTAGCCTAATAAGTATCTTCTTTTTCCATTTATTTTCAAATGTATGTCATCAGCTTAACATACAGATTTGCATAATAAAGAGATTTGATCAAAATTATGTACAATTCTGTCCTGAGAAAATATTGGGTAGCCTGGCATGCACTAAACCCACATGGACATTCAGTGAGGGAAAATAGTGTCATAACTGTGAAATCACTCATAATGAGGTCAGATAATTGCAGGTAGGCACACAGGACAAAGAAAGCTTAGGGGTGCCTAAACTCAATTATACCAAAAACCACGAATCCATTCAAGAAAAATAAAGAAAAATTGAAGGGGAATGACTCACTTTATAGATGGAGGCATGCTACATGGTCAGACTAGGCAGGAGGGGCTGCAAAATCGATAGATCACTTTCCAGAAATGAAGGAGCAACAACAGCAGGCATAAAAAAACTCCACACAGGGCCAGGGAGATGGCTCAGTGGAATAAGCGCTTCCCTGGCAAGCTCGAGGGCCAGGGGGTTCCACCAAAAACAAAACAAAACAAAACAAAAAAACCCTCCACACAGTGTTCACTTGGCTTCTATGGACCTCTAGGACCAGAAGTGAGCAAGATGAGAAAACAAATCCTACATGGAGAATTTCCCTCATCACAGCAGGCAGTCTAGACAGGGAAGGTAAATCACTTGTGGCTCTTTGCTCTGCAGACCACTAACTGCATGCAGAGGCAGGAGCTGCATATATTCCGAATGGCGGGAGCTCATGAGTCTCCTCCATCTCTCCCACAAAGGTTTTGGTCTCCTTCTTCCCATCCTTGTGCCCTACCCCCTTTTCAATCATACCTTGTTCCTTTGTTCTTTATTGCATTGTCAGTATTTGAGAAATACTTAAATTTCAAGCCATCAATTGTAATAACTTTCAAGTGGCCCAGAGTCTTAAGAGTACACAACAGGAATGCGTGGTAGAAATGGGCTCTGCACAGAAAACTGAAAAACTCCTATTACCACAACAGAACATTTCTCTTTATCTCTTTTGTTCCTACAGAGGATGAGAAATCCATTCACCAAGCACCGAGTGCCTCTGCTCTTCCTGCTGCTGCTACCACCAATGCAGCTTCAAGGGACATTCTCAAATTTCTACCTTTTACCAAATTTTACACAGGAGGAGTTTGACAACTACATGTATGAACTCTTTGGCACAGGGCCTACAAGACCACCTTCCAAAAGAAAAATTGAAAGAGTAGTCCTTGCTGAGGAAAACTGGAGACCTTTGGATGATCCGTACTACTGTATAGAGCTGATAAAACTTAGAAATGTTCAGTATAATGCGAAGTGTTTGAACCACCATTACTTCCTTAGGACTTCATATGAGTTGTTGCAACAGACCTGCTACAAATCCAGTGTGAAATGTAAGGATGGAACTAACAGATGTAAGATGACTGACAACATAATAGAGGGAGTGGTTTGTAAGTTATTACAAGGAACTGATATGCCAGGGTGTGAGTATGAATCTTCTAACATGCATGGTAATGTTGTTATCACCTGCCAATGGAACAATGAAACTCAAGAATTTATTCCTCATACCATAAATAACATGGTACCACAAACCTAGCAGAAAAGCATCATCCATTCAGAAGAATCCCCTCTTCAAATATAGTTTTCCCTAAATAATTAGAAAAGAGGGAAATCACCTTCTCCAAACTTCACCTTACCAATCAAAATAAGAATGTTAATTCGATTCTGTTCATTTTGATCACTCTCCTCTCTCCCTTTCTGCCTCCATCCTATCCAAAGGCACCAAGAGCTGCATTCACAAAGAGTACAGTTATGAGCAGCCTCACACAGGTCTCCTCGTTCAGTATGCTTGAACATGGTTTGGTGACAAAAGTCCCCAAGGAAAGGATGGTCAGCACTGCGATGGGCAGAGAACAATTGTCTGAGCTGTGCTCTACTGGTGTATTTCTATGATTCTCTCTTTTAACAGAAAGAATAAAGTGATTCAATCCAGTGCAGTGGCTCCTGTATGCATGTGTTGGTCTCTAGGTTGAGGGTTTTCTTTCTTGTTGTAGCACTTCACACCAAGAACTCGGACCCCTTCAGGATACCCTTCCAGTGCTGCCATGGCTGAGGTTCCTCCTGCCCTACTCCATCCACACAACATGGTACATGACCTGAAGAGACAGACCCTGTAGGGCACAGCTCAGGAGAAACATGTCTAAACACTTAAATGGAAACTCCTCAAAGTACTTTTCAGTTGCCCAATGTTATCCACAAGTATTCTCACACTTTTGTGTCAGTTGAGAAGTCAGTGTTTACCAAATTACAATTTCTCGCTGTCCTGACTTCATTATTAGCCACAATGCTTTTCCTCACTTTCCAGTAGAAGTGGCAACATTTCAGCACACATCACCTCAGAACAAGGTGGAAAATCTCTGTGATAAAAGAAGTCTATCTCTCCAGTTACTGTAGCAGTTTCCTCCTCTTTTTCACACTTCTTAGCATCTTTTACTATTATTCCTTAAAACTTGCTGGAAAATGGGATAACGAGTAGTGAAGGTGGATGGCAGGGAGGGCACCCACCACTCCTGGCACCTGGCACCCCAATCAATTACGTATTCATCAGCACTGTCCTCAGTGTGATGTAAGAGAGTCTTAAGGCAAATGTCTACCAGCATCCTCTTGCTAGAGGAAGGTTCACCAAAGAAAGGAATATTAGAAAATCATGCTTCTTCCCAGCACTCTGGGAAGCTGAAGCATGAGGGCCTCAGGTTCAAGCCCAGCTTGGGGAAGTTAGAAGGACACTATATCAAAAATTGTTTGAGAATCTTGGTAACAACCAAAATGTCCATCATCTGAAGAATGGATGAAAAAGATGTGGTATTTTTATACAATGGAGTATTACTCACTCTAAAGAAAGACAAACTTGAAGTCTTCATAGGTAAGTATATGCAACTTGAGGCTATACTCATAAGTGAAATAGACCAGACCCACATATGTAAATATTATAGTCTCCCTAGTCTAACAACACAAAAGAAGAAATAAAACCAGAAATGTATAACAGATACACTTAAATGGAAAGAAATGTAATTTAAGGATTAAACAATGAAGAGGAGAGGAAGGACAAAAGATAGGAAAAAAAGGAAGGGAGAAAAACATGAAAGTATACATATGGGATAGCTGAAGTGATTGTACTAAGAATTTCCATCAGTTTTTTGAAAATAGCAGTTAATTTGTAGGATTCTTACCTTGACTAAGTCTGTATGCTGATATCTGTGAACTAAGCAACTACACTGAGAACAGCAATGTGTAATACAAAAGCCATGCTATAAACACTTGTCATCTTGGTCTTCTAAACGTGTACCATTTCTAATGTCATTTCTATTATTGCTATACTCTTTAAAATAAAATTTTTAGAAAAAGATAATAAAAGAAAAGGAGAGATATGAGCAAAAATTTAAGATTTCTTGAAAGCACATAGTACTATTCAATCATGAGTGCAATCTTGCATAACTAATTAATAACTGTTAATCTGAGCAACAGATTTGATGATTAAAATAGATGCTATATCAATCATTGTTAATGAGCTATTCTTGTTTTGAAAATCTATAACATATGTACTGTTGTACATTACCCTGTTTCTGTCTCTGTTTTTATTTTCTTGCTTTTTTTACTCTTCAAAATAAAATAAAATTATAATTAAAAATGTATGAGGACGTAGCTTAGTGAGAAGACTGGATTCAATCGCCAGCACCACAAAATAAGACATAAATAACAACATTTTCCTATACACTTGTATCTATTTGTAGGTCTGTGATTTTTTTTTTAAATTTTTTATTATGTGTGTGTGTGTGTGTGTGTGTGTGTGTGTGTGTGTGGCCAGCTCAGCCCACCAGGGGGTGGGGCTGGCTGGCATGTGGTGCTGGGGGATTGAATCACGGTCCCTGTGCTTTTTTGCTAAGCTTGTTCTAAGTAGGTGCTTTAGACCACTGAGCCATCTCACCAGCCCTAGGTCTGTGATTTTTAATTGAAGTTGTGAATGATGGTCTTACTGAGCTCTTGTGAGCCTCCATTGTACCCCAGACAACTCATAATTTATACATTAGCTGAATAAATTCTGCACACAGGCTATGAAGCACTTCATCTGGTACAACTTCATGTCGTCAATCTTTGAGTTATACAACATTCTTTGAATTGTCCTTTCACTCTGTTGGTGATTTCTTTATTTATTTATTTATTTTTGCAGAACCGGGGATTGAACTCAGGCCCCTGTGCTTGCCAGGGGAGCACTTATTCCACTGAGCCATCTCCCCAGCTCCAGTGTTTCTGTTTTAATATTTAGATCTTTGATCCATTTCAATTTTAGTTTAGTGCATGGTAAGCAATATGGGTTTTGTTTTTGTCTGTAGTATGTGGAAAGAGTTTTTCCAGCAACATTTATTAGAAAGGCTGTCTTTCTTCCAGTGAGGGTGTTTGGTTCCTTTGTCAAGGATAAAGTGGCTGAGCATTTTTGGAGTTGTTTCTTCATCTTTGTTATGGGTCACTCAGAATAAGAACCAGATCAACCAGATTGGAATTTGGAAAGCCGTTTATTACTGAGCTCAGGGCCCCCCAGTCTGCTCTCACGCAGGAGAGGACC